GTGGTGGCAGTTGATCAACGGTCTTCTTCAGCGGGCGATGAGATGGAGACAGGGGCCAGGGGCCTACAGGCGCAACAGGGACTGCACCAACCTGCTGGCCTGGAAACGGCTAGTCCAAGGCCACAGCTGGCTTCCATGGTGGTGGGGCCGGCTGATCAGGACCCAGTGGCACAGACGGGTGACGCTTTGGTTGGCGTGGGCCAACAGCTGGATGCCCAGGGCGGGGAGATCCCAAGGACGGACTGCGATCAGGGTGGGCCAGAGCCTAACTGCGACGGCCAATCACATGCCGTCCAGAACGGGGGGGTCTCCGAGGCGGATCTGCGTGTTGGTGGGGCCAGATTTGGTGGGGGACAGGACCGCTGTCTCGGCTGACAGGGGCGAGGTGGCGATGGCCGCTACGCGACAGGCACGCCCTGCGGAGGCGGTTGCGAGGGACCCGGCTCAGGACAATGATTGTGGGACTCTTCCTACGAGGCTGGAGGTGGAATATTCTACACCTGCATTGGATCTTGCGATCGTGCCAAGGACTGATGGTAACCATGCATGCATGGACACTGTTCACGTAGCGTCGGGGGATTCCGCTGCGTGCGTGGGCGCGTCCCAACAGGAAACGGAGGGCATGACCGCACATGAAGTGGTGGCTTATGGCAAGCTCAAGAGTTTCTGTTTGAACATTATCAAGAAATTTGCACCACCGCTGCTCCGTGAAGTCCAAGCATCGCACCTACGACCGGAGGCGGAGCCATTCACGCCAAAACGCACGACGCGCGCATCCAAGAAGATGGCAACCGCGAGCCGGTCCAAGGATAGTCCAGTTGAGAATGTGTTGTTGCATGCTTTGGGTCTAGTTCCGGATGACCTTGTGGTGGATGATGGGGTGGTAAAGGAGCTGAAGGCGCTGTTCGATTCCCCCCTTCGCGAGCAGCATGTCAGAGTCATCGCGGCTCTCTTCGGGAAGACGGTGCCTAGTGAACAGGAGATGAACGTGGAGAACGCGGTGGTGGTGTGTGCGCGCTAAGCGGCCCGTGGTGGTGTTGGTGGTCAATCCTTTCATGGATTCACACCCACAGGTGTTGTGCTGGAATGTTCGTGGCCTCAACAATCCAGCCAAGAGGAAGGCCGTAAGGGAGTTCATTAGCTCAGTTAAGATGAACTTGGTGTGTCTCCAAGAGACCAAAATGGATGTAATGGATCAGTTTATTGTGATGCAATGCTTGGGGCCATCATTTGATGGTTTCTCCTACCTGCCGGCTGAGGAGACTAGAGGGGGGATCCTTATCGCGTGGAACACCTCGGCTCTATGGGTGGATAACTTAGTTCCTAATGCCAATTTTATTTCGGGGTTGGTGCATACCAGGGTAGGAGAACCTTGGTGGATCTCGGTGGTGTATGGACCGCAGAGTGATGAGCTGAAGACGCAATTCTTGGAGGATTTGAGGGCTAGGAGGCTGTTGTGCCAAGGATCGTGGATGATTTTGGGGGACTTCAACATGATCCTTCGCGCCTCTGAGAAAAACAACTCTAACGTCAACCGGACCATGATGGGGAAGTTCAGGGATTTCGTTGACGACCACGAGCTCAAGGAGATGTACATGCACGGCAGGAGGTTCGCGTGGTCGAACGAGCGAGACACGCCCACGTTTACTAAGATTGACAGGATCCTTATATCCGTTGATTGGGAGTTGGACAATGCTGAATACCTCCTCCAGGCGCTCTCCACGGGAGTCTCTGATCACGCGCCGTTGTTGCTTACTACGAGTGTGGGTTTCTGCCCCAAACGTAGGTTTCAGTTTGAGCTTTTTTGGACTAGGTTGGATGGGTTTGAGGAGGCGGTGCAGGAGGCTTGGGTGTGCGACCCCGCGATCGTGGATACGTACGCCAGACTGGATGCACTGATGAGGAATGCTGCTGCATCGCTTCAGGCTTGGGGTCAGCGCAAGATTGGGAACGTCAAACTCCTAATGCGGGTGGCCACTTGGGTGATTCATAAGCTGGATGTTGCACAAGAACGAAGAAGGCTGGAGCTGAGAGAGATTTGGCTGCGCCGCACGCTGAAACGAGCTCTGCTTGGCATGGCAGCCCTGGAATGCACTATTGACAGGCAGCGCTCGAGAATGAGATGGCTCAAGGAGGGCGATGCAAACTCCAAATTGTTCCAGGCGGTGGCCAATGGACGCATATCAAAGAACTATATCTCGCGTATCAGAGTTGGAGAGCAGATCATTGCGGAGCAAGAGAACATGGAGGATGCCTTCTTCCATGCGTATAAGCAGTTGCTTGGTACGGTCCAAGCTAGGGAGCACACCCTGGATCTCCAATTCATGGGGATCGCCCCTCACGATCTTCAGGAGCTGGAAGCCATGATTACGGAGCAGGAGGTTTGGGAGACTGTCAAGGAGATGCCACCTGACCGTGCGCCGGGGCCGGATGGGTTCATTGCTGCTTTCTATCAACGGGCCTGGCCTATCATCAAACATGATGTTATGGCGGTTATGATGAAGCTTTATGTTGCGGATGGCAGGGGCTTTGCTAAGCTGAACAAGGCGCATATCGTTCTCATTCCTAAGAAGCCAGAGGCAGAGGAGATTGGAGACTTTCGGCCCATTAGCCTTACCCACAGCGCCCCCAAGCTCTTTGCAAAGGTGCTCGCAAACAGGCTTCGGAAACGCATGCCGGAGATCGTGGGCATGAACCAGTCGGCATTTATTAAGGGACGACACCTGCACGATAACTTCCTCCTTGTGAGGCAAGTGGCCAGGAAAATTCACGATCGCAGGGCGCCAGGGGTGCTCCTCAAGCTGGATATCTCGAGGGCCTTTGATTCCTTATCGCGGCCCTTCCTCTTCGAGGTCCTGGAAGCTAAAGGGTTTGGGCGAAGATGGCTGCAATGGTTGGCGATTCTGCTGCACTCTGCGAGCACCAAAGTTATTGTCAATGGAGTGCCAAGTCGGAGGTTCTACCACGCTAAGGGCTTGCGCCAGGGCGACTCGATCTCCCCGCTTTTGTTCGTCATCGCCATGGACGTGCTGACATCGTTGGTTCATAAGGCAATGGAGCTTGGAGTGGTGAGCTCTTATCATGGGATCTCGGCAATGCAACGGATCTCTATATACGCGGACGATGTGGCCATCTTCATTAAGCCCACCACCACCGACCTGGAGTTCATCACCGCGGGGTTGGAGATATTCGGTCAGGCCTCAGGATTGTGTGTTAACTATCGCAAGTCGTCGGCTATCTTGATCCGTGGTGATGCTGTGGACAGTGCCAGAGTGGCCGGAGTTCTACAATGTGGCATTACGGAGTTCCCCTGTAGGTACTTGGGGCTGCAGCTCGCCATCAGATGCCTCACCAGAAGCGACTGGCAACCCATGCTTGACAAAGTTAAACTTTTCGTGCCGGGCTGGCAGAGAGGACTCATTCAGCGACCAGGACGGCTCATTCTCGTGCAATCAGTGATCTTCGCCAAGCCAATTCATCACCTTATGATTACGGATGCTCCTGACTGGGTGTTTGAGGAGATGGACAAGTGGATGCGTTCCTTCTTCTGGGCTGGGAAGGACAAGGTGAACGGAGGACAATGCCTCATTGCTTGGAGTAATGTGTGTCGACCCAAATGCTATGGTGGCCTTGGGTGTGAAGAACCTCAAGCTACAAGGGCTAGCTATGAGGGTTAGATGGGAATGGTTAAGACGGACAGAGCCCAACAGGCCTTGGCAGGGGCTGTCCATGACCACGGATCTGGAGGCTCGTGAGGTCTTTGATAGTCTGGTGGGCATCAAAGTGGGGAGAGGCGATCGGGTGCTTTTTTGGAGGGATCGTTGGATCCACGGTTTTGCAGTTAGGCACATTGCCCCGCTTGTGTTCGCCATGGTGCCGACTCGAGTGATCAACAAACGCACGGTTGAGCAGGCTCTCACCGACAGCAGCTGGTTGGAGGACTGCCAGATGGGATTCTCTTTCATGGCCCAGCTACAACTGATGCATCTTATCCAGGCCATCGGCACGGTACCTAGGGACGCGGAGAGCATGGATGTGTTCACCTGGCCTTGTTCCAGCTCGGGCTCATACTCTGCCAGATCGACTTATGCCAGACTCTGCGTGGGTCACACCAGGTCGCCCTTCGCGACATGCGTTTGGAGGAGCTGAGCACCTCTGAAGTGCAAAAATTTTGCCTGGCTTGCTCTGCAGCACCGCATCTGGACCTCTGATCGGAGGGTATGTCACGGCTTACAGGACGAAACATCTGCTTGCTACACCTGCTTACAAGATGAAGACAATGCCAAGCATATCCTAGGCGCTTGCACCTATGCACGGGAGGTTTCGCACAGGCTCTGGAACCTTCTCGGGATTACCGTACCAGGACACGTGGCTGGTGAAACGATTCTAGACTGGTGGCTTAGGGCAAGGAAGGTCTTTCACTCTGCAGACCGGAGGGGGTTTGACTCCACTTTCATCGCGATGATCTGGGCGCTATGGAAACAACGGAATGCACGGGTCTTCAATAGGATAGAGCAACAACGTACCCCACAAAGCTTGTGTTGATGTTACTTGATCAGGTTGCCAAGTGGAAGGCAGCCGGGTTGGGTGTAGGAGGACTCCAACGATTTGTGAGGAGTTAGTATAGGGTCCTAGGCTGGTGTGGGTGTTGGTTTGTATCTATGCTACACGTTTGTTCGCATTCGTGACGTACGTCATGTAATTATTTCTCTCCTTCTATAAAAATATGGTACGCCTTTGGCGTACACGAAAAAAAAAACACCGACCCGATCCAAATCGAACCCGATTCGATAGCTCCCGTATAAATTGACACTCCTGTCCCGTGATTTCCTTCATCAGCCCTAGATCCCCAAATTCCTCACCAATTCGCCTGCTGTGTCTCGACGGAACTCCCCACAGATCCACACCCGGCGCATCCCGTCCCGGTGGTGCCTCCCTCCCCGTTATTCCGCGCCAACCCCCCTTCTCGGTGCGCGGACTAAGCGGAGACAAGTTGCAGGATGTGAGTATCTTCTGATTTGCTTACTGTTCTAGTGTAGGTGCTCACGGAGCAGTTCGAATGAGTTTGCTGTGTAATTGCTGTGCACCAGTTTTTCACATAATGAAAATTTCAGGTGGGCGATCGCCCTCGTCGTTAAAAAAGAAGTTTTTACTCTACACATGTAACCGGAGTTGCCTCGAGTGTGGCTTTGAGCTATGTACACGTTAGAATATAAAAAGTGTTTATCCATCAACCATATTCCTCCTCTATTAAGCTACTTCAATTATTATAGATGATGTTCTGAAATGAAAACATTGATTGCTCTGTTATTTTTACTGACATGTGCGCCTTTTTTTGTTTTGTTTTATGGACTGTGCTGGTAGCGTGATGGAGCTTAGTTTTGTGTATTACAATTGTCGTTGTTTTAAGCTTGACTTCTCTTCCTTCTAACGTATATGTATCTGGGCAGCTAAATAACTTGGTTTGGGTTTGCTCACTTGATCCATGTCTTACCATATACAGTATTTGTTTAATTGGATTCTAGCTGCATTTGAAACCAGCTGCTAGGAACTGGCTGGCTGCCGGTATTTTGAGTTTTTGACCAACTAATTTGCCTGAGAGCACAAGGGTTTGAATAAAATTTGAGCCTTTTCACATTTGTATGCACAGAATCATGTCAATTTTATACTGGAGCAGAGCACATCATATAGTTTATTTCATTAAATTACATACTTTCTCACTGATACTTCGATAGTATTATGTGTGAAACCTGAGAAAATAAAAGACAATGAGGTACTCCCTCCGGTCGGGTTTACAAGGCACCGTTTGTTTGTGTTTCATGACAGATCTAGTAATATTGATCTGGTACTTAAAAACCTGGCCGGATGGAGTGCCTTAATTTTTATTTTCCAATTGATGTTGACGCTTTATGATGGCACGTTACACCAGGCCTTTGTTACCGTACTAAGCACTTGAATTTACTTTCTGCCTCAGGACTGCAAAGACCCTCAGAAACAAGGGGGCAACTGACTGCACAGGAGGCCCGACTAGGGAGCAGAGTGCCATACATAGAAAGACCAAGGTTACAAGTGGGAGTAATGGCCGAAAACCAAAAGGCTTTGGTAGGTTTAACGAAGGCATAAAAAGGATGTTGAAACGTGAGTCGCATCGATTCTTAATCTCACTAGTTATTGCTTTTCTTGTACATATTGCTGCAGTATAACACTCACAGTTGCTGTGTATCATGTTCGTTCATCAGTTGAGGCAGCTGAGAAGGCGCTGTCTGATGCCGTGGAGAAAGAATGTCTTGCTGAGGAGAAATATTATTGCGGACTTCATGATCGACCTAAATCATACACTACTTTTGATGAGAAACAATTTGGCAATCTAGACGATCCTGTCGCTCGAGATTTTCCTTGCAGTGTCGTCTCACTTGCTTTATTTGATGGTGATTGTGCTGATATATGCTTATGAATTTTTGTAATTTCTTTGTAGTCGTCATTTGTTAATGATTCAAATCATGTTGTGCAGGAGATACAATGTTATTTGCATGCTCCGGCATACCTCTACCACCCGGGAGAGCTAAACTTCCCCTTACAAGATATGTGACATCAGAACGTTTGGTTAGAGTATATCAGGGATATATGTATAGAGATGATAAATTGAGGGTTGGTGCTGCTAATTAATTCGTCTCCCATTTCGCTTTGTTCATTCAACCTAATTTTGACTATGCTATGCTGATGTACAGCTTTTATCACTACAGATTGTAGTGCGCCTTCCTAATGATGAAAAAGTTGGCGGCCTTTTGGAGCTATATAATAGCCACATTGCTATCGTCACGTGCTTGAGCCTCCAAGCTGTCAAACCTCTGGATCTTATTCAGGCTTCTACTCCTACCTCTTCTTCTGATGAGATGATAGCTGCTGGGCGTGCCTTCCAGTCGGGCTGTTTGATGTCCGCAAAGGTAAAGCCAGTTCCGGTCTCTCAGAAAGATCTCAGTGGCTGGAAAATTGTCAACGTCTATAAATGTGGGCCAGAGGTATGCTGCTGATTTACTCCTTACAGTTTGGCATGATGGAAAACTTTGAAATGAATAAATGCATTGTAATATCTGTGGTCTAATGTATCCCTGTGTGCACAAGTAAAATTGCAATATTTGTTTCTGTATAAACTCTTATCACTTTGCTTTCTCTATAGGCTGTACTTGGAGGGCCAGTTATAGGAAACGATAACAGAATTATTGGCATAAACTTTGATGTTCATGGTGCTTTTTCTCCTGATGCGGAAAATCTCTGTGTATTGTTTGTTCCTCTGGATTCACTGTACACATACTTGCACCATTTTCGAATACTCAGGTATGTCTTCTACACTTCCATGTATTTATGAGTTATATCTTCTTTAGCTTATGTTGTATTTGTTCCAAACCCCTACTTCTGCTCCATTTACCCTTTTTAAGGTAAGTCGTTTTTTGGTGTTAAAAGCACTAGAGCATTAGAAGCTTTACAGAGTAATCTGTGAATGAAAAACAATTTGGTTCTTCCTCTGCTAGATGAATACCTGCATCAGTGCCACCTCCCCTGTTGCTAATTTAATGCTAGTGCGTAATTTTGGAGCCAGGATTGCTGGCTAAATGAGAAGAGTTAAAACAGTTTGTTTAGAAATTACGGACAATGCAGCGTATATTTGTGACATCTGAATGTGAATCCTCCCATTTCTTCTGTTGAATATTTATAGGCCCGATTCAAGTTTTCATGTCGTTGAGTCGAGTCGAGCTTTGTGTCCACCATGGTGACGATTATCTGTTGGGCGAAAATGATAATAATCAGTATAATGTATCGCAAGAAATATGAAATTATACCACATGTGATAGCAAATTCCAACATCATGTCACAAATAGGCCCAAAAGGTATTCCAGAGCCAGCCATTAGGCCCAACATCCTAGACTATATAAGCCAACAGAAACCCTAGCAGCTCTCCATTGTGTCAGCCTCTCTCCAACCTAGGTCCCTTGTACTGCTCTGCCACCAGCTTGGCCTGTCTCCTGTATGCTGCTCCTACGGTGCAGCCCCTACATTCTTTTCTTTCTCAATCACCAATCCCGCCCCTACAGCGGAAATTCCAGCAGCCCTGTGGCTGGTGGCCATGGTGAGCTACAGCAGCTGCTCAGCTCTCTGTCGCTGTCCGCGAGCAAATTTTTCACGCCGCCGGCATCCCCCCTCCAGTGATCCAGTCTCGCTCGTTCTCGTGCCAAAACTCAAAAGCCTATCTTGTTGATTTCCCCCTGGTTGAGCGACACAGTTGGCTTAGGCCACGACAAGGCGGGGATGTTGTTGCCAATAATTTCTGGGCGCCCGCCTTACTGAGAAATCCTGGGCATCGCTGGTAGTTGTCTATCTCAGAGGGCATGGACATTTAAGCGACGACTTAATAATTTTGGGTTGATTTGCAAAATAAATAAATAAAACATGTTTTCCCCTTTTTTTGGGTAAGATTTGGTTCATTTGTTGCCATTATCATTTTGCTATTGGGTTAGTTCCTCTTTTTGCTTATCTATTTGTCATAACTACTGTACTGTGTTTCATTGCAGTCGTGAAGGACTATGGTTCCGTGAATATTCGTTGCCTGAAGGTGTATACACCCTAGTCCCTTCAGGTATGAATAATGGTGCACACCATCATTCTAGATGTTACCTATTGTGCAGAATATTATGTGGATATTTATCATACATTTGATCTGAGTACTGTTATTGGTCATCATTGCACCAGCATTTAGGAGAAGAATTTACCGGATAATGCACTTTAGTTATCCCATGCCACCACTACTTGTGCTCGAGCGTAAGTTGTTGCTTTTGATGTATGCTGACGTCTCCCTTGTGTAGTGTATATTTAGCTTCTGAGCTTTGTGCCATTAACCAGTTAATGGGGTATTGCGTAATCAATTTGAAGAATGCTTTGGTGAAGTATGTGCATGGAAAGGGTATCCTTTTGGTGTTCCACCCTATAGTTCAGTCGAGCGTGTCTGGGTGCGACTGGGGAACGATGTTTTGAAAGATGTATCCCGTCGTGTTGTCTCAGTTGCTTCATTCAAAGGTGTTTTTTACAACTTTGCCTCATTATTTTTCAGTGATAGTATTTGATCTTTACAAACTAATAATTGAAGTTATAATATGTAGGATACAATAGGCTTTTTGCATGCACAGGCTTGCTTATAAAGTGGCGTGAATCCACTGCCGTTCTAACTTCAGCCAGTGTGATTGGGTGTTGTCATGATCACGATGAAAGTTATGGACTTTGTAAGGACTTCATGTGTAATAGTTGTTATTATGATGAAGATGGAATTCGTCATGGACAGATGGTTGATACTCCTAACCATTCCTCTTGTTTTTTAAGTTATTATATGGTCAGCTGAGCTCACTTTATCATTGCAGTCGGAGATTAAGGTGTTCCTCCCTCCAAATCAACGCGCCAATGGGACATTGAAATTGTACAGTTCAAACTATAATATTGCTATTATCAGTCTCGACAAGAAATTAATTGGTACTCGTCCAGAAGACATTTTCAAGGAGAATTCCACTCGGAAATCATCTGGAAAAGTAGTAGCCATAGGGCGTGAGACTATACGAGGACTATTGATGGCATCAATGGGTGAAGTGAAGCCTAGAGACAAGGATTGCGAACTTGATTGCAAAGATCTTAAGCTGTCCACTTGTAAGATCAAGAAGGTATTGTTGTGAATCTCTCTCCCTATTTTTCTATGCGGCACAGCCAGAATTAGTCATCAGGATCTGCTGAACTATATCTCAGGAATTACAAGATTCAGTAACTTCAGGCTTCTATTTTTTCTTCTTACTAGGCTGGAATTGGTGGTCCTCTTATTAATTTTGATGGGAGTTTTGTTGGCATGAACCATTTTGATGGAAGGATGGTAACTCCTTTCCTTCCAAAGAGCAAGATTGTCCAAGTTTTAAGACAAGGTGTTTCAGTAAGGTACTTAATCCCCTGTTCGTATAAATTTTAACTGGGCAAGTGTATACTTATTCCATGAACCTTCCATTGGAAAAATAGGCGGGATGACGGTCCTGTGCACTTACGAGATGCCAGTGAGGGGTCACGGATAAACAGGTATTCTTTCCTTTTTTTTTCTACATATCTATCCTTTCAAGAGCCAACTACATTGGGAAATAACCAAGGATACTGGATTGCAGGTGGCCTGTGCCCCGGCCATATTGGTATCATGGTCTACTCGATGCGGATAGGGATGATCATCTACCCGCCGTGAGTAGAGGAAGGGTACTGCAATAGATTACTGTCGTCTTGTTCTGATCATCTAGCATGTACAGTGGCGAAGCCAGCTATCTGGCGAGGTTTGGCGCATGCCATACCTAAACTTCGACCCAAGTACGTACGTACAGTATTACTTTGATACAATATTTAAGTTTTAAGCTGGGCTTAGCTGCTGATGGGTCGAGTCCGTGGCTTGACTACACGTCACGTCTGCACATGGATTATGGCTGAAACCTTCCGAGTTTCGACTGTGCGTGTACTTGTTCTAGACCGTGATCTGCGTGACAGAGGCACAACAGGCAGGGCAGTACGCCGGGGCGGTGGCGCCAGTGGCAGGTGGCGGCCGTTCACCGGCGAGGCGAGGTGAGGCTCTGACCGGTATATGGCAACGCCGACTCGGCGAGGCCGCGAGGGTGAGCAGACGGCGCCACGTTAACTGAAATTGTTTTTTGTTTGCGAATATGTTAACTGAAATTGGACTATATCAGATCAAATATTTCTCCGATTTTAGTTTATCTAGTGCCTTCCCTTTGTTGAAATACTAATGGATTAATTTCCTTTATTAAATTGGTGAACATTCATCCATATAATTTAAATCTAGTGATGTATTTTGAGTGTCAGTACTCATTTTTTAGATTTTTCTTGTATATTTGCTAAATATAAAGTAGTACCTCTGTCTCAAATGACCTGTCTTAACTTTTTCTAGATATGGATGTATTTAATACTAAAACATGTCTAAATACATCTATATCTTAGGCATACCTACGACTAGTAATTTGAGGCAGAGTAAATATACATCTAATATTCTAGCGAGCCTTTATAATCATATTATGCATGGTTTTCTTTTTTACAAACTCCGCCACACCTGAAAATTATTCCTGTCTTCGCCACTGAGCATGTAGTAGTATCAAACAAGACTAAAGCTACTCATTGTCTTATGGCTGACCTTGATATGTTAATCTTGTGGCTGACCTTGTTCTGCTCATCCACATCTAGGAAGTGTCAGACATGCCACTGCTATTTATAATTTGGACTGGTTGTCTATGTCAAGGAATGTGACTGGAAAACATTGGACTCGAGCTGAATGCATGGAGTTGTCCAAGATGCGTAGAACATGAATGATTTACATATCCTAGCGCTTTCAGTTTTCTGTGCGATTGTTGATTGTGATGGTCCATGGGAGCCGGATCCTATGACATGCACAAGGAAAGTCATGGAGCTACAGTGAACTCTGTGTATAAAACAAAGATCCGTCAGGGGGGCTAGCACTGGACGCGAACTGTAGAGCAAACACTGGTTGTGAATTACTGTGGATAATTACTGTTTAAATCATGGTTTAGGGAAATCTGGGGAAGGAATGTCAGGGTACTGTAGCTGCCCCTGATTTCCCTCCCGATGTCAGAGGATCTGAATCCTAGTCCATGACTATCTTCCTCTGTTCATCGGTTGGATGAGCTAATTCATCCCCTCTCTGGTTGTAAGGAGGATAAATTTGGTTTTCCTCCCTTAGAGCATCTCCAACAGGCGCGCCAAAAGACGCGCGCGCGGTAAACCCAGCTTTTAGCGCGCGCGGAACGTTTTGCCGCGCTCCAGTGGTGGCGGGAATCTCGCGCGCGCGGGAACCGCTTACGCGCGCGTGTGCGAAAAGGCGGCAGCTCGTGCGTCATTTTTGGCGCACCGCTTTCGGCGCGATTATAAAATGCGGCGCTCGCCACGCGCCTTCTTCACGACTCCGATTCCACTTTCTCTGCCACGCGCTCCTCCAGCGTCCCGCCACCGACGCGCCACCATGCCGCCGCGCTGCTGACGAGCGTCGGGCTTCCGCGGTGTCTGCCTGCTCCCCAACGGCGGGTACTACTCCGAGATACGCTCTGGCGATCTTCGGCTCCGCCTCGGCACCTACGGGGCGACGCACGAGGCCGCCCGCGCGTACCACGCGGCGGCGTGGCGCCTAGGCAGGCCGCGCGGGCAGATGAATTTCCAGGACGTCTACACGCTCCAGCAGGCGTTGGACGTCGCCCCTCCGCCTCGTCTTAACACGGTAGAAGACCGTGCGGAGCACGCTGAGCGGCAGCGCCGCCTCCTCGTCGCCTAGGAGGACGAGCGGGTCATGGGGGAGTGGCGCCGGCGCCACCCGGAGGACGTCGCCTACGAGTAATCCTACTGGGCAAGGCGCCGCGAGGAGGACACGCGAAGGCGCCGCAATTCGCGGTTGGAGAGGCGTCGGCGGAAGGCATTGGCGAATGCGCAGTCGGATATCGTTGCAGCAGGTGGGAGGTCGTTCTTCACGGAAAATGATGATCGTTGGTTGGACATATGGCTCGATACGTCGGATGACACCGACGAGTATGATGATGGTGATGATGATAGCGACTTGGAGTAGTTTCTATCTAGTTGCGTCGTAGTTTATCTATGCTTTCGAACTATCTATCTAGTTGCACCGATGTAAAATACCTTTGTATCGTTTTTTATTTATGCAATCTATCTAGTTTTTATTTATCTATGTTTCCGATTTATCTAAAAATAAAAAAAATGTTGTGTGCGCGCTGCATTTCTTGCGCGCTGCTGGAGCGGCGCGCGCGCGCTGCATTTTAGCGCAGCTGCTGGAGCCAGCGTTGCGCGCCGCGCCAAACCAGGCGATGGGCGCGCGGCAAACCAGTTTTTTGCGCGCGGCGCGTTCGGCGCCTGTTGGAGATGCTCTTATGCTGCACCAAGCTGATACCCTAAAACGGTTAGTGGAGGAAAAATATATTCTCTGATGCCTATCCCATCCCTAAATATACATCCCTAAATATACTCTGTCTTGAGGCGACCGAGGATAAATTTTCTTCATGCAAAGGTGGTTGATCGGCGGCTTGCGCAAAGCTCCCTTGTTGACATTGGCGACCTCTGCCCTTGTTGGATTGCCTAGCCATTTCCATTAGTTCGGACTTCTGGTTGTGGCCGAGGATAAATTTACTTCAAGGCCGATCGGCGACTCGAGCGAAGCTACCTTGTTTGACAGCAGTGACCTCCGCCCTCGCTGGATTGCGTTGCCCTTTCCATTAATTCAGACTTTTGGTTTTCCGCGTCGCATGAGGGGCAGTTTTGAAGTACAATGTTCAAACCCTCTCCCATAGTTCAGACTGATGGGTGAATTGGTTAGGTGTATAAACTTGGTTCAGTGTTTAAAATCCAGTAAACGCAATAAAGTCATAACCTCCAAAAGAGCATAGACGAGGGGGAGTGTTGGAATATAATGTCCGGCCTCTTTTCATAGTTTGGACTTTTGAATGAGTTGGCTGGTACATGAATTCTGAAAGATCGAGGATGTCGCCGGGGGGAGGGGAGGTGAATAGGCGCTTTAAAATAATTACGGTTTAGGCTTGAACAAATGCGGAATAAACCTAGCGGTTAAAGCACAAAACCTACAACAACTAGGCTCACCTATGTGCACCAACAACTTATGCTAAGCAAGATAAACAACTAAGTGATAGCAAGATATATGATAAGAAACAATATGGCTATCACAAAGTAAAGTGCATAAGTAAAGGGCTCGGTAAGAGATAACTGAGGCACGCGGAGACGACGATGTATTCCGAAGTTCACACCCTTGCGGATGCTAATCTCCGTTTGGAGCGGTGTGGAGGCACAATGCTCCCCAAGAAGCCACTAGAGCCATCGTAATCTCCTCACGCCCTCGCACAATGCAAGATGTCGTGATTCCACTAAGAGACCCTTGAGGCGGTCACCGAACTCGTACAAATGGCAACCCTTGGGGGCGGTCACTGAACCCGTACACTTCCCTTGGGGCGGTCACCGGTACCCGTCAAATTGCTCGGGGCGATCTCCACAACCTAATTGGAGACCCCGACGCTTTCCCGGAGCTTTTACACCACAATGATTGAGCTCCGAACACCACCACCCGTCTAGGGCGCCCAAGCACCCAAGAGGAATAAGCTCAAGGGTACCAAGCACCCAAGCGTAATAAGCTTCTCAACATGTAACTTCCACGTATCACCGTGGAGAACTCAAACCGATGCACCAAATGCAATGGCAAGGGCACACGGAGTGCCCAAGTCCTTCTCTCCCAAATCCCACCAAAGCAACTAATGCTAGGGAGGAAAATGAGCGGAAGAACGAAAAAGAGAACATGAAGAACTCCAAGATTTAGACCCAAGGGTTACCCTCACATAGAGGAGAAAGTGATTGGTGGAGATGTGGATCTAGATCTCCTATCTCTCCCCCCCAAAAAAACTAGCAAGAATCCATGGAGGGATTGAGAGATAGCAAGCTCGAAGAGGGTCAATAATGGGGGAAGAACACGAGCTCAAAGGATAAGGTTCAATGGGGGAAGAAGACCCCCTTTTATAGGAAGGGAAAAATCCAACCGTTATCCTCACAGCCCGCACCGAGCGGTACTACTGCTCCAAGGAGCGATACTACCACTAGGGCGGCAATAGCCAAAAGAAACACTACTGCAACGGGGCAACATGGCGGTACTACTGCCGGAGCGGTACTACCACCTTCCCTTGCGGTACTACCGCAGGGGTAGTATTCAACGGCCACACAGGTGCAGCACACGACAGTATATACAGTGAGGTAGCGGTACTACCGCTGGGGATAGCGGCACTATCGCGCGTCCACGGATGTAAAAAATTACTACCGTGCCTACATCCGCTGGAGCTAGCTTCGAGTAGAAAGCCGACACGGTGCTACCGCTCACATGGAGCGGCACTACCGCACAAGGGCGGATGTAAAAAATTACATCCGGGCATACTTCCGCATGCATCAGCGTCAGGGCTGGAGGCAGCGGTACTACCGCTCACCAGGAGCGGTACTACCACGGGCCCCTGCGGTACTACCACTCCCTTGAGCAGTACTACCGCACGCCACAGAGGCTTAGCACTTGGTTGCCTTCATACCGCAGCTAAAGACAACAGAAGGATAATATAAAACTAGAAATGCCATAACTTCTGCAAATGAGCTCTGAATTGAGCAAACTCAAGCTTGTTGGATAGAAGACAATGAGTAGCATCAAAACAACAAGAGGCAGGGGAGGTATGCCTAGCATATAGAGGAGTGAAACCCTCTAATAGAGAAGAACCAGCATAACCTCCAGCATCGAAAACATCATAGAAGATGCAAGTGAACTCCGTTTTCGATGAACTCGAGCTTGTCATCAAGATGGCCATAAGCTCTAAGACTCACAAAGAGAACCAAACAAGAACCAAGAAAGATGATGCAAGGATGCAATGGTTTGAGCTCTTTATGAATGATACGATCAAGCTAATCAACGAGAGCCCCCCTTGATAGTACGGCAATCGATCCTATAATCCGGTCTCCCAACTATCACCATGAGACCGAAAAAATAGAAACCTATCAAGGAAAAATGATGCGGAGCATCCTACAGTCATCCCCATGGACCTACCTTCGTCTCCCACGACACCACTTGGACCAATGACAAGAGCCCGTGCGAGAGCTATCGAAAACGAGGTTAACTCTATCCTTGTTGAACCCCCCTTTGACCCACTTGAGACATGGCTACTACCTCAAACGGATATGCTTTGTGTGCTTAGGTACCAAGGAAGCAACCAAGGAGAAGTTACGGTGCAAGATGAACATCAAGAGCATGAAGACAATCTGCCCAGCCCACAAGGACCGGTACAACCACCCAACTATCGCCTGGGCAGTACAACCGCTCGACTACCACCCAACAACCGGTCCAGCTTCTGTGATCGAGTGGTGCAAGGCCGGCACTGCACCGGTAGTACCGGTAACTACCAAAAGACCGGTACAACCGCCCCGACAACCGGTTCAATCGCTGCTCCCTTCGGCGTACACCTCCAGGAACCAGCGCCTAGACACCCAGCGGCACTACCTCTCCCATGACCGGTACTACCGGCCTGCCTGAACTCCCGGTGGTACTACCGCCCTCATGACCGGTACTAACGACCCGCCTGCGCGCAGTGAAAGGGGTTTCACCCCATGTATCTCCCACTTACCCCTTGGACTATATATATGAAGGAAATATGCCCTAGAGGCAATAATAAAGTTATTATTTATTTCCTTATTACATG